TATAACTTTATGAAACTTTCATTGGACCTTGCCTGTGTTTGCAATATTTCTTCCGTTCAATAGAAACTGACTTCTTTTTATCAACTCTTTTTATTTGTTCTCGATTTCGCCCGACGGTCTTTTATGGAATCGTTAAAATTTGAATCGTCGATAATCTCTTACCCTGAGTTCTTTCCAACTTTAAATTCGATATTCCGAAGGCTATAGGCAGATTATATAATACACGGCGCTGAAATTCTTTTCGACGATCTTCGATCTCGATTTTAAGCTAATAAAGAAATTCCCCTGCGGTGTATCCCGTTTTATTCCCATCGAATATAAAGTTATTTAAATATCAATTTCATCGCAAAGGCAGCTGAAATACACAGCTGTCGAAATTTCAAAAATTATGCACGGCGTGTCGTGCCATATTAACCCAAATATTTTAAAAGACACCTTATAATTAGTCGGGAGAAAATTATTTTCACGAGTATAAGTCAGGAGCTACACTGTAAAGGTAACAACGTTAAAACTATAATATATAATAGAAATATTATAATTTTGTAATTACCGAAAACACGCGGTATTTAACAAAATTTATATTATACGTTTTCCATATAACATTTTTCCATCGAAACAATGAAAAATAACGAAACAAACTCGAGAACTTGTCCGTTGAAGATTGTACAATACAATGTAGACCTACGGAAAGGTACTTGTAATATATTTAACGTTCCTTTCTTTAAAATCACAAAACAAGTCGAGAAGAGGAAATTATTCAGGCCACTTGGTCCACCTTGCCCACAGGATCAAAGATCACGATCCACGTCGACTCAGCGTGAAGAATTGATTCCCGTCGATAAAAGTTCCTAACGTAATTAGAGTGTCATCGTGAATTATTTATAAGATCCTGGTACAGCACACGGTAGCTTCTTCGATGGCGGTCGCTGAAGATTCTTATGCGTAATTTGTCCTTCGTTTATTCCTGTCTGACTAACCAATCTTGTTACTTTCCTTCGCTCAGCGTGGAAACATTTTTCCATCGCCGACGAGACAGCGTTAGGAAAAATATCGTTAACCAACACGAAGGCCTGCACGTCTGCCGTGCTTCCGTTTTAGTTGTGTTATCGTTTATCAGCGCCAACGTATCGTTGCAGAACTGTGCCCATTGCCCGGTAAAAATGCGTTCTCCATTCCACTCGCTGTTTCCCCATTGTGTCGCACCCTGACCCGTTTCGTCACTTTCATTTGCGTTTTTCTTTCGCAGCATGATCGATCCGCGAACGCAACCAAGCGTCGAGCTATTGCTTTTTCAGATCGTTTAGATACGTACACGCGTGTCTCTGAATCGGGTACCTGGAAGAATCGAATCTGTCACTTGTCCCGGGATGATGGAATCACGAGATAAGTCCGCGAGGAATTATTTTTTCCTTTGGAAAATTCACAATCGATACGTCAGACAATTAACGACGACGCAATCTCGTTTATATACCTGTAGGGGGGACCTCCTCCTCCACGGCTCTTGTGGCGATGGTGCTAGAAGGGACGAAAGGAAAAGGAAGGGATTGCAGCATTTCGTCCCCTAGTGGACCCATCAAAAGTAAGGGTTTTCCTATCAGGCCCTGCTTTAGATACTATGGAGTTATTAGATACTATGGGGATACTATATACTATCGGGAAGTTATATGTATAGGAAACGAAGGTTTTCCGAGTACTTGCGAGAAAGTCCTCAAAGTCGGAATCCATCTAGCGGCGAGGGTGGGAATGATGATCGTTACATACCTAACCTCCTCGATGCTTCTATTCGAAAGATAAAGATCTGTTAAAAATAACACGTATTGTTCGAGTAACATTTTTATCTCGCACGAAGAAGAGATACGAACACGGTAAAACGCGTTTATTCATGGAGAGGCGGGAAAATGAAATAAAAATAGAAATAAAACTCGCGGTACAACGAGTTTAAAATCGTCACGGTGTATGTCTGCGTTTCAGCACGCGTTATTCACCTTTTCGTCATTTTCTGTTCCCGTCGTCGAATTACATAAGTTTGACGATTTTTATTCCCGCCATTTCCTAAACGACCAACGCGATTGTACTTTCTGAGCATCGTTTCCGGTGGATCGCCATACAACAGGATACGCTGCTGGCTACCCGGAAATTATGTTCAAGTGAAACCATTGACGGGCTGGCTTTATTCGTAATATTTCGCTGGCTTTTTTCGAATAGGCATTACACTTCGATTCACAGGTGAAATGCTTCCTCTCGCCGCGGTTCCATTCGAAGTTCGAGTGGTTGTTTTCTTGCGTGATGCGCCATAACGATGACTTTGGTCGTTTGCTCTGCATCGCGTTTGCTTTATCGCTCGAACAAAGCGACGTGATCCCTGGAGATTTTGTAAAAACCGTAGCAAGAATGATAATTTAAATATCACGCTTATACCCCGGAAGTTTATTCAGATTTTCCATGGACCTGAACAGAAACACGTTTTGCGATTAGAGGATTCTAGAACTCTGATATAATACAATTTTATTTTGCATCTTTTGCATAATGCATGTGTTTTCGTGTTTTACCTTTAGTCTGTGATATATTATTCGTGACAATGCATTTTGCGATTTTATTTGTCGATATTGTAGCTTGGATTGTCGGCCATTTTTGTAGTGTCTGCTGCTCTGTGGTGCATTTTGAAGCTACATAATCGCTGTTATGTAATAATGTTAATGAAATGTGTAAACGTGTCATTTAAGTATTTAGATACTCCTTGCGTCTCACTCGCACGACTGTGACGTGCATTTGAGAATTCGCATAAGCGCCGAAGAGGTGTCCTCAGGGTCTCGTTGCGAGTAAAAAAGCGAAGTGTGTCGCGTTACAGGTGGATTCCATGAATATTTTAGTTTCTGGAGAAACTTACGAAGAAAGAGTACGATATGAAAATTGAACGTATAGCTAGCTTACTCTTCGTTCGATATATTTGCGACTAATTTAATAACAAATGATAACGTTAAAAATATTCGTGAGAGACAGATTATTATTTTATTATTAAATTACATATTAGAATACGTGTTGTTAGTTACTATAAACTTCTGAAAAGTAATTCTTTAATTCAGAAAGTGCAAATATGAACTTTAAAAGTTGGATTATTTGAAGTGCGTCCCTCTGAGACGTCTGCGAATAGAGAGGTCAATCTCGTGCCATTTCCTCGTATATACAGTTTGATATTATGTGCTCTGATGGAGGATGAATAGTACTATAATTTCAGCAGAAAAATATGATTCGCTGCATAAATTACTACCGCGTGCAATTTTTCATTCAAATTCGTAGACGAGAGTATTCTCCGGCGCAAAGCAAATGTAATTTATAAGCGACGTTTTCTGAAAAATCTTGACACGGTGTCGAGATAACATATATTTCACGTAAATGAAAATTTAAGCCCGGTGCATAAATACGAACGTGTATTCTCCATTTGCACAGAAGAATTTTAAAAATTACAATAAATTGCTACTAAAATTGGCTAAGTAAACTAGAATTGCGCGTGCTCCTCGGACTTTGTTCAACAGCCATACTCGGCGCGAATGTTCGCGAAAGCGGGGCAAGAAAGGACAAACAGAGTTATAATACACTATTGCTGAATTCGTGCAACCACTGTGCATAGTTCATTATTTAACGAGTCGCTGAACCTCGAGATTTAACGCAGATATTACGTTTTCCTGTTAAAAGATTCACTTTAATTATTTGACATTTTTTCTCGAATTTAAAGTCGTTGGATATAGCGATAATTATTTTACAATAGATACTAAATAGTAATTGATAATATAATAATCGCCAAGTAATCGTTATATAATACAGTTATTAAATTGCTAATATTTTTGTAGCGTATTAGGAAATCAAAGTACCTAATTGTACGATGGTAACAGCAATTACACCAGAAATATTGGCAATTGAGCAAGCATTGCGACATGCATCGCTTCCAACCATTATTCCAACCACTAATCCTCTTACTACTAATAGCCATTTTTACTGGACGAGTGGCGGAAAGGGAACGGGGGAACTCGAATTTACAGTTATAGGATCACCGACGAAATTTTCTCTATACCACACGAAATGAATTCACTCTGCTCTTAATTGCTTTCCACGTCGTTAGCATACTTTCGTTATTAAAATTAAATTTTAGTCGTATGGATAGACCAATTAGAGATCGAAATAGATATTTCTACGCAGCGTTGATCCTGTACCTCATACTTCATCAATTGACGACTCTAAATAACCTGGAGTAGTTAAATTAACACTAAAACTATCTAGTAATAATAAAAACAAATAAGTAGACATAACCACTGTTCTATTAATAAGAGATTTCCACGAATTATAATTTACAGTTATAACAAAAAACCATGAACCCATTACCTGTCTGCTACTTCCAGTGTTAATAATTCTTCGCAATACTAAACGCTAGAGATCACGCGTAACACCAGCAACCTATCATCACCTAGAATATTCCACCTATATCAATCACGCTCATCTCCAAGCCACACAACAACCCCAAAACGATCCACCCTTAACCATCGGAAGATAAAGAGCCTGGAAACCCAGTCTCCTCTCGAAAATACCTCCTCGAGTTGCTTCAATACACCTCGTGAGCCTCCTCTGTCCGAAAGAACTCGCTGCTCTAAGCAGAGAGGACGGAAAGGGGCCCGTGCCAACGCACGTGGCTAACCCTGTCGAGCGGGTATCTGGTTGGCCGGTATCCGTTTACAGGAAGCGGGCTATTTACCGTTTTTACTCGAGTGTCACTTACAGCCGTCTGGTTTCCTCGTCACGTGCCGCAGGGAAGCGGAAGAGAGCGGTGGAACTGCTCCAGGCGAC